TCTAGGGACGGGGGAATCGCCGCCCTGAGCCGCCGGGGTTTCTCGCAGGGCTGGGGGTTAAAACGCCTTAGGGGTGCCCGCGGCAGTGCGTCGCCTCTGGAGGTGCGGCAGCAGTGGCGCGGCGGGGAGGCCTGGACAAGGGCGCCCAGCCTGGAAGTGGGGCAACGTGCGCGGTTGCTTGGCTAACGCGTTGGGTCATTGGGGTAGGAGGACGGAAAGGGCTCGCAGCTGAGCAGGCTCGAGGTCTGCCCTTCTGCGGTGTTGCTGAATTTCACTCAGGTGAAGCTCATTGGTGTTGGCAGAACCTGTGCCCTTTCCACAGCTCAGTGAACAGCCAGAGCTGTGATTGGATTCTTACAGCGCTTCTGTTAAAATATTCTGTGGGCATTTCTAGGCTTTGTGATGCAATTCATTTTTTCTGCATGTGTTGCACTATAGACTCGAAGAAATTTTCTTTCTCTTTTGCTCTGACCTCTGCCAAGATTGACTTGCTTGTAGTGGCCCTTTCATGTGCGTAACGTGATGTGATTGCTGAATACTTTCGTTTACAGAGCCAGCTCTTCCTGTACTCTGCCACAGTCAGGAGCAGTCAGATGTTACTCACAGTTCTTCAGTAATAAAACGCAGTAATAGGCCATTTCCACAGGCTATGAAGAAGGAAGTGACTCCTAACATATGGCAAATTATAAACCAGTTTGGTAAAGTTAACTTTCTGTTTGAATCTTAGATTTATGAACTTCTGCTCAGTTAGTACCCTATTTTTCTCCTCCCCCCATTATTGCTGCAGTTCCTTTAAGGTCGCGAGGAATGTTTCAGAAGCTCTTCACTAGCTTTATAAGCCCTGTTCTCTCAGTGACTTCCAACTAAAACTACAATGCAAATTTGACTACCTAAATACTAAGAATGCTAGTGCCATTCTAATTTTTTTTTTTAATAAAATACCTGAGTTCTCTGAACCTTTTGAGTACTGTCAAAAGCCTGCGTCTTCTGGACAGACTGTAGAAGGCACACCTACAGTCATCCCTAAAGCTAGGAAAACACTGGTAATCTCTTCTCCAAGTCCTGTAGTTGGCAGTATATTTTAGGAAGTGTCTTCGTATCTGCAGATACTGTTGATTTTTTAGGCCTAGTCAGTAATAGCTGCTCTCCTTGCTTCTGGTACAAATGTGAAAGGACATAATGTCCTAAGTAAGATTAAGTCGCCTAATCAAGCTTGGGGAAATGAGATGATAGCACGTTAGTGCTAAGAAAGGTGGTGGAAAAAGTGTGGTTTATTCATCATTCACCAACAGTTCCATCACAAAAGACAGCTGAAAATGGCCAAGTGATGGCAGAGTCGATTAGTTCTGAAGGAACTTCCTACTTATGTTGTAATTGGGATTCAAGCATGGTATATGAAGGTGTGAAGTGAAGAAAACTAAGTGCGTAGAATCACACCTATCAATTTCTTTCTTATTCTTAACATCGTTTGTAAAGCATCAAGTAAAAAAAAAAAATTCTTTCCCCCTTTCAGTGTGGCTTATGCCGTCATGTGTTATATTTAGCTTTGAGACCTAGGTCTGAAAAATTAGGTGAGTCACAGGCACGTAAGTAAGAAATTCCTCTCCAGTCACACTAAACAAGCTTCTGAAACTCCAGAAAAAAACATTTGCTTTCCATGAATTTGAATGAGATGCAAAGACGTTGGGAAAGACAAGTGTGTCTTCACAGATAGCAGGCTAAAGCTTGCACTCCTTACTTAAGTCTTTCTCAAACAGTGTTTCCCCTATAATTGGACTTTGCGGATAGTTTTGCCTGAAAAAAGATTGACTGAATGCTGAGTAATAACATCAAGATTAATGCCCGAGAGGCTACTGAAGTGTTAATTGTCAAGGGCACTGTTTGGATTGGAAAGACAAGTACAGTCACGTTATCGGATGCTTCCCGTTGCTGAAGTTGCTGTGTTACCATCTTGTAGTGATCCATATAGTGTAATTATTGTGTACGAGTAAGTAG